ACACAGCAGCAGCAAGCGGTTCCTGACCCGCCGCGGGAGGAGGGGACCGCAGAGGGTTTCTCCCAGACGGGCAAGGAGACACCAAGACGGGGGCAACTCAACTCCTTGCCAGTCCCGCAGCAGCCCCCAGCACAGGGCCCGTGTCCTGTGCCCAACCAGGTGCCACGGAGCCAGGGGCAGTGGCACAAGTGACCGTGGCACACCTGATCCCGATTCCTAATAAAAGCCAAATTCCCAGCAGGTACCTTGTTACCAAACGAGGCATTCGGCAGAGCAGTAGGGTGCTGATTGCTGGGCTAAGCGGTCCTTTCACCAACATTAACCTAATTGCTGGCTGATAGATTGCATGGCTGGAGCATATGGTGAGTCATTACAGCCCTGGAATTCAGTCTGCCCCCAGAACCCTTAAGAGGGTCCTTTCATCTGCAGTCATCTCTAAAAGGCAGCTCTCGTGCTAGCTTGCTGTTATCTGCCCAGGGTAAATGTTTTAATGATGTTAACAAACTTTGAAAGCTCAAGAACAGTAATTAGAGTCATGATTATAAAACCAGGGTTTCATACCATCAAAGGCAGATAATTTTATAATCTTCCGTCTTTTATTTGAAAAATAAAACAAAACAAAACGCGGCTCAGCAGAATAGCCCAAACCACCACCATCACCTGCAGCACTCCTAGCGCGCTGCGGCCGCTGCGACGACGCTAACGGCGCTTTGCGCTTCCACAGCGCGAGCGTAAAGCGCTTCCTGACTTCTGCTTCCGGGGAGCCGAGGTCGCAGGACACAGCAGCGACCGAGCCCACCCCAGCTCTCCTGCCCTCCCGACCCGCACGGCAGCACCTTGGCTAAATTCGGGTGAAATCCCCCTCAAGCCAGCAGCAGGGACGCGTGTGTCACTTTGGGAGGTTTATTTGCCTGTCCTCTGCTACATACCTATTTTCTAATTTTCGGTGGACGTTTTCCTTACGTGAAATAAATGCAATGACTGCAGCGGAGGCCTATCCGGATTAAACTGCTGTCAGCACCTCGCGTGCCTAACAAACGGCGGCTGGCCGGCAGTGGCACGGGATGAATGCCAAGCGGCGAGGGGGGCGAGCCCACGGCAAGGTGCTCGGCGGAAAAGTTGCCTAGCAAAGCAGGAAGGGCAGCACAGAAGGAAACCAAACCCTGAATGGCAGTTTAAAGGGGTGTTTACCCCCTCCAGACAACCCCCAAGCACCGACTCCTCCTCTGCTGTGAAAAGGGCATGCCCTGTCCCAGGCTCGGTGCACCTCCAGACCCGTTTCCGCAGCTCACAGAGCTGGAAAGGGTTGGAAAACAGGGAGCAGAGCCCGGGTGACCCACTGGCCTCCCGCGCGCTGGGGAAGAGGCGTTTCGGGGCGCCCGGCGGCCCAGAGCACTCACTGTTCGGCGACGACGTACTGCTCCGGCAGCGGCGTGCACTGCACCCCGGCCACCTGCACGTTGTGGGCAATCTCGGAGAAATCCAGGCCCAGGTTGACGCCGCGGCTGGTCACTCTCGTCC